GCACATATTTTTAGAGAGAAAATCAATTTTGGCTTCAGTTTTTAAGGAAACTGGTTGAAAGACACTGACCAAGATCTCTTTATTTCACAGCTTCTAAGCCGTATCTGATTTCATATCATTTGAATACTTAAAGAATTACCAAAATCGAACAAGAAAACACACACTCCCCTACCTTTTCTGCCCCATTCCTAATTATGTTAGGAAAAAATAATCTTCCCTGTGGGGGTGGTAAAGCACTGGAACAGGTTGCCCAGGGAAGTGGATGCCCCATCCCTGGATGGGGCTTTGAGCAACCTGGTCTATTGCAAGGTGACCCTGCCCACAGCAGGGTGTTGGACCTTGATATTCAAGGTCCCCTTCCAACCCAAAACCATTCTATGATTTTATGATTCTATGATCCCACAACATATCCAAAGGAAGAAAAAAATAGGATAAATTTGAGGTACAGCTTTTTCTGCTTATGAAAGTGAAATAGTGGGGGAAAAGTAAAAAGTTTGTTTAACTTACTGCTTTGTTTAAAAAAAAAATCTGTAGTCTAAATCTGTTTTTTCTCCGCATGAGCTTTAGCAGGAAGTATAATTCCACAACGTTTCATATTTTTTTCCCCCTGAAACTATCCAGGGACATTCTGAATAACACATAAGCCCTTGAAAAAATAGTTTAAAAAACATAATATCTCTGCCTAGCTCTTGGTTATGAAAACAGCTCATACAGCAATTTTTGGGGAATGTAAACTGTGTAAAGCACCAAGGTCAGGCAAAAGGGATTTGTAGGTGTCGGGAAGTCGAAAGAAAGTAGCTGGAGGAAGCATCTGCTGTCTCCAGGGATGTCTCCAGAGATGCCTCCAAGCTGGACACCGCTGGCAGCGCGCTTGGAGGCGGTGGCAGCCGCTCCCTGCCGAGCCCGGCCGGGCACCTGCGGGGCGGGCGGGCTCCCGCTGCCATTGGCCTGGCGCCGCTTCCCGCCTCCTTTGAAAGCTCGGGAAGGGCGGGCGGCAGCCGTGCCTCGGCAGTCGGGCAGCAGGGCCGGGCGGCTCGGAGCGCTGGGCCAGCGCAGGAGGCCGCAGGTAAGGCCGGGCAGGCGGGGAGCGCTTTCGCCGGGTGTCCCTCCTGGGGACTGGGGCGGGCTCCCCGGAGCTGAGGGAGCGGCGCTGGGCTTCTTGGCTCGCGGGTTCTTCGAGCAAGGTGGCAGCGCTAAAGCGACGTTCGTGTGCTCAGTATGGCAGCGCTTGGCCTTGGCAGCTTCGTGCTTTATAGTAACTAGTAGTCTCCTTTGTTTGGTGGCTTTTTTTTTTTTTAATTTTGGTTTTTTAAATTTTTATTTCCCAATTATTTTTGGGGGGTTGACCTGTTAAGGTAGGTTTGCTATCTAAGCAGCTGAACTTGTGCTTGATCCAGCTGTGGTGATTTATAAATGTGTTTCTTAAGGCCCCAGCCTCTCCAGGAGTAGGGCAGGACTGTGTACTTTGGAAATGGTGCTTATGAAGGAGTGATGGAAAAACTTGTCTTATGATTTCTCTTGGGGCTTATCTTTTCATCTACTTGTTCAGTTGCCAAAAAATAGTGACATTAATGGTGAATTTACAAGGTAAGCTTTCTCCTTGTTCTAAAGCTGTTGATGATGAAAAAGAGCTAGTGAATGGATCAAAAATTATAATCTGGAGACCTAGAATTCATGTCATTGCTGAAATGCTTGTAATTCAAAAACTGGAACTTATTTTTGTTAGGGGGTGTTTAAGGATTGAGGATGTGTATACTGATGAAGAATCTCTTAATGGTATATTCTACTTACGTTGGGCTTTAGTGTGTTTTACTCTTTCATAATTGGGTGGGAATGATAAATCATTCTGGAGTTACTCCATCTGTTTTGAGGTAGAATTATCAACTAACACCTTCACAGCTATAATAGGACTGCCATGACATCCAGGGTACAGAATACAGTGTTAGACCTGACTAGAAGTAGTTAGCAGGATTACCCTGATTTATATGCTACTTGAAGAAAAGGCCAGGAATAGTTATAAGTGACTAGAATTATTGGAGTGTATGGCATGCTTCAATGTAAAATATATAGGTTTTCATCTGCCCTTAACATAGCTGCAATAAAGGCTACAAATATATGTGAGCTTCTAAGAACATATATACTTATATGGTTAATTAGTTCTGAAACTACTTAGGCTGAGCACAGGTACATAGTTTTTTGGGGTTTTTTGCCTGTCAGTTTCTGCACAGAATTCTGCTATGGCTTAGCTACAAAAAAAAAGAAAAAAAAAAAAAGGCAACTTTTTTTTTTTTGGTAGTAGTTTATTCTGTCTATAAACTTGTAAAGTCAGCTTGAACTAGAAATTTCTGTATGGTTTCTTGGTTCCCCCCTCCACAAACCAAATCTTGCAGCTTCAGTTCTCCCATAGTAGGACTAAACAGGATTCTGGTGGTAGCTGCTTCTGAAAACTGCCCAAGTGTCTCTTTGGAAATAGTCAGAATTTTAATGCACAAGCTGGCTGTGTTCGGTTATAGAATTACTGTTTCCAATGATATCCCTGCTGATCTCATGAAAGGGGGAAAAAGTAAACAGTAATGAAAAAGATGCTGGGTTTGTTCCAAGTGAAAGGAACAGTAATTATTTTTTCCCTCAAAGCTCTGTTTCTGTGTTCTCTCCCTCTCATCTGCTTCCCTGGGAGGTGAAGGGGAATGTGACTTGTGAGTCTCCCCATGGAATTCTGTCTGTTTGTGCAAGGTTTCTTTTTCCTCAAAATAAGTTATCATTTTGTAAGTCTTGTTATCTCTCACTTAATTCCTGTCTGAAAATAATCTTCTGAAGTCAATTTTGTTTAAAGTAAAGGTCAAGAGATATGCTACTACTTCCTCTACCAAGTTTTGTGACTTCACAAATTTGCTGCTTGCTTTTGAAGGTTTGTTGTTATGCGGGACTTGCAAACAGTTCTTACCAGATTAGTTCAAGACCCTCTCCTGGAAGCTGCTCCTCACAGATCCACCCCTGAGCTCTACTCTGCAACCTCTCATCTGCATGGGTGGGCTTGTGGGGTTGGGGGTGATGTGTAGCCTTGAATGAAGTAAGAAAATGAACTGCTATTTTTTACTTACTCAAATGCAGTGCTTCAGAGACTATTATTTAAGAGTAATGTCAATGTTTCAGCTTACTGATTGAAATAATTTAGAAAAATGCCAGTAAAATTTACAGTCTTTGCTTTTAACCTTTCTTCAGTGGCTCTTTTTTAATTAAGGAAAACTAGGGGAGGCCTCTGTTTAGCCTTTGCTGTACTTTGCTTTGCCTGTAGATACTTTTTTTTTTTCCAATTGCATTGCTGTTTCTACTCTTGAACTGTTACTCTGTCCATTAATGTCCTCTCTGTAGAACAGCTTGGAGTAAGATACAATTCTGCAAAGGCATGTATGTGATTGTGTATACAATAAGCATATCTACATATTTCTGTAATCAGTTAAAAACAAATGCCCTGCCCATGGTACCTTTTTTTTCCCTTTCAGATTTTATTTTAAAGGAAGCATTACCTACTTAGGAGAATTGGAGGGGTGGTGGGAGGGGGGATTACAGTAGAGAGACGGCAGCAGAGAGCTGTGAGGCTCCAGCGGACCTCTTTGGTTCAGCACTACAGGTGTGTATGTTCATTCACCTAGCAACACGCACAGCAGTAGCCTTGCTGAATTGTTTAACTGGTTATAAGAGACTGTTTGCATTAAGCCTGCGGGAGATAAAACTTGGAAGTGCTGGCGTTCTGTCTGTAGCAGTGCCCTGGCTGTCACTGTTGGACCAGGGTAGTTTCCCTGTCCCACAGAAAACTGAGAGTGCGGAAAATTTTTCCACTCTGTGCTGGAATAAATTCTCTCTTCCCTTCCCCCAAGCTTTTGTGGAAAAAAACAAAGTGTGAGCAACCCAAGCAGAAAAGCCAATAGCTGGGTGAAGGGGGCTTTCCAGGGGGGTGACGAACGGAGGGTCAGGTGCCTTCCTCGAAGCCAGGGCTGTGTGCCGGGCTCTGTCATGTGCCCGCTCGGCGCTGCAGCCGGGTGACCGAGGCAGGGCAGGTGTGTATCGGCCAGAGCGAGTTTCGGTGAGGATGAGTTGACACCTTCTTCCCCCTCCCTTCCTCCCCCGCCAATCACGTGTTTCTTACACTGGAAAACTCCCAACAAAATCTGTCTGCTACGTAGTGATGGGGGAACTCTTTTGAAAACAAAAGTGGGAGGGGGGGGAATACCCCTCCACCCACCGCAAAAAAAAAAAAAAAAAAAAAAAAGGCAAGCCAAACAGAACCCCGAGGAAAGCCAAGTCCAGTTCAGAGACGGGGGTGAAACACTTGAGAAGCAGGGGGTTTCAGTGACAGTCATCTGTCACATGAGCAGATTTGGGGAAATCAAATCCCCCGGCAAAACCGGGAAGCCCGTCGCTGCGAGGGCGGCGGCGCTCGGCTGTGGCCTGGCTGCGGGGGCGGCCCCGGCACCTGCCCCCGCGGTGGCTGCGGCGGCGGGCGGTGCCCTTCCCGTAGCAGGCGGTTCAGGGTGGGCAGGGCAGGTGCCGGGCCCCTTTTGCGGGCTAACGTGGCCCTTGCCCGGCGGCAGCGGGACGGAGCCGTGCGGGGCTGCCAGGGCAGGGGCTCGGGCACGGCTGTGCCCGCCCGGGGCTGCCACGGCAGCGGCGCGCGCCGGGGCGGTGCGAGCGCG